GATTGAAGAATTAGTGTGGTGAAAAATAGTGAAAGGTTCGCGATAGATTATGTTGTATAAGCGTATGTGTGGTAGTCAGGTGTACTTGGGAGTGCTATGTGGTAGTCAGGTGTACTTGGGAGTGCTATGTGGTAGTCAGGTGTCCGTGGGAGTGTTATGTGGTAGTCAGGTGTCCGTGGGAATGTTATGTAATAGTCAGGTATACTGCATGTAGAAGCAAAATAATAATAATAATAATAAATACATTATACACAACCCTACATCATTAACCTTCAACTAATGCAACACCTATGAATTTCCCAAACACTTTTTTTCAATTTATCCTCCTCTTCTCACCTCCCCACCCCCCCACCCACCCCCAAAAAATGGAGCATCAGAGAGAATTCCCATACAGCCCAAATAAAAAAAAAATAAATGCAAAAAAAAAAAATAAAGTAAAATAAACAGCATCCGCCATTAACGTAAAGTCCTGTTTTCAATTTGCACGACAGCTAAAATCCAGAACCCTTTGCGGAAAATCCTTCTATTCACAGGGTATATTATGCGCCCGGTTGCAATCATGGCCAAAGGTCAGATCTCTCTGTATTTTGAAGCCGAGCGAAGTTATGTGAATTCAATTAACTGACGATATTGTTGCCTCGTAATATATAAATATATATATATATAAGGGAGGAAGGATTCAAGTATAGGATTTTAGTGGGATGTTTTTTTTATTTTTTTTATTAGTATCGTATGTTTGTTTTTGTTTAGTTCAAAGTTATACAAGCGGCTTCTGGAACGACATTAACGAAATTTATTCTAAGATCATAAATAGTAATAACAGGTTAGGTTAGGTTAGGCTAGGTTAGGTTAGGTTAGGTTGGGTTAAGTTAGGTTAGGTTAGCTGCTAGTATTATTAATAGTAAATGCACTGCAAACATACCTACTATTACTACTACTACTACTACTACTACTACTACTACTACCTACATCACCACTGCCCTCTCGTAACCCTACAACAGCTAGTTAATATAGGCTCTCAATGTGATGAACACCTACAAGATTTACTGCTATATCATAAAGACTCAGACATAAACACGGAATTATATAAGCGAGACATAAACACGGAATTATATAAGCGAGACATAAACACGGAATTATATAAGCGAGACATAAACACGGAATATTTATACAAGAGACACAAGCAAACAGAATTACAACACATCAAATAAAATTATAAACACAAAATATTTTAGCATTAGACAAAACACCTTTACGTCAAACACAAAATAATTATACATCAGACTGAAACACAAAATCACTCAACGTTAGAAGAAAAAAAAAAAGCCGTAATACAACAAAACAATTAAAATATATCATAGTGAATTTGATAATGCCGCAGGAACTACAGATTTAAAAAAATAAAAACGAAATAATATATTGTAATAGCAAGTCCAAGAACCAAAATTGCTTTTCCGGGGGAGTTTTGCTGATTGCTCCATCAAGGGACGCAAAGTTCGGATTAGCAACAGTAACAGTATTAGGGAAGTTAAGAGGCAGTGCTGTCCTAGGAGTGCGTTACAGTAATATTTATGAGGTTATGTTGTCCTAGGAGTGTGTTACAGTAATATTTATGAGGTTATGTTGTCCAAGGAGTGTGTTACAGTAATATTTATGAGGTTATGTTGTCCTAGGAGTGTGTTACAGTATTAGTTATGTGGTTATGTTGTCCTAGGAGTGCGTTACAGTAATATTTATGAGGTTATGTTGTCCTAGGAGTGTGTTACAGTAATAGTTATGAAGTTATGTTGTCCTAGGAGTGTGGTACAGTATTAGTTATGTGGTTATGTTGTCCTAGGAGTGTGTTACAGTATTAGTTATGTGGTTATGTTGTCCTAGGAGTGCGTTACAGTAATATTTATGAGGTTATGTTGTCCTAGGAGTGTGTTACAGTATTAGTTATGTGGTTATGTTGTCCTAGGAGTGTGTTACAGTATTAGTTATGTGGTTATGTTGTCCTAGGAGTGTGTTACAGTATTAGTTATGTGGTTATGTTGTCCTAGGAGTGCGTTACAGTAATATTTATGAGGTTATGTTGTCCTAGGAGTGTGTTACAGTATTCGTTAATGTGTTGATCTGACATGTAGGTTTTGGTGTAACGGTTGAGAGGTTAATTTCATGACGGCGTTGTGTGAATGTGTGAATACCCCTTGCAAATACAGACAGACAGACATACATACATGTAGACACAAAAACATGTACTCAAGTGAATATGTGCGTAAGCTCACGTACTACACCTCAAAATCAGAGAGAGAGAGAGAGAGAGAGATGGGGGGAGAAAAATGTGAGAAGGAGACTGACAGAGACAGAAACAAAGACAGACAGACAGACAGACAGACATACACAAGCGAATCATCCTACTTTATGCATTTTAATGAAATTTCAAACCCCAAATATTATATCACAACACGGCCGCCAAATCCGATACTGCAGAATTAAGATATTATGTGAAAATAATTGACGATATATTTTTAATTGGGAAAATGAATACGATTTTACAATAGTTTATCAGAATATCTTTTTCATCTGTTGCTATGATTATTTTCTTGTTATTTATTTCTTCCCCTCATTATAGTGAAGATCTTATAATATTAATTTATCATCGTTTTGTGTAATCTAAAATAATTACTTTCCAGCTTGTTATAATTTAGATAATTTTAAAGGTAATGAATCAACTGTTAATTAGCTAACAAAACACCTTAGATATCATAACAAATTGTTCACGATAATGAGCTCCGTTAATACAGGCTACAAAATCATGTGTTTCTATGTTGCTCTTGGGGGATTTACTACAACTTGACAGAATTTGTACAGTATTGATGCTTATCGATTCAAGGTAGGGGAAGGGTGGGGAGGAAGGGGTGGGGATGGATGGGGGAAAGGTGGGGGAAGGCTTGGGAGAAGGGTGGGAGGAAGGGTGATGGGGAGGGTTGAGATTGGGTGGGGATGGGATGGAGGGAAAGGGCGGGGGAAAGGGTGGAGAAGGAAGGGTAAAGGGAAAGGTGGGAGGGAATGTAGGAGGGCAGGGTAGGAGGTAAGGGGAGGAAAGGCCTTATATGATCGTCTCTGAATTCTTGTGTATTACTCTCAACTCCTACAAGACAATAACAAAGGCTCAGAGTGTCATTGTCTCCTTGTCTTTAGGGTTCGTGGTTGTTGACGTTGGTGAGTTCCTAAAATGCTGAAGTGGCAGTAACTCAGTATCTACAGCGACGCCTATGAGCTTAGACTAAGGCCTGGGCAACAGATATATATATTTACTGGTAAGGCAGAAATATTAGATATGCGAATTAGTGTAATTTGTATGGTTGTATTTTACACTTGAGAAATATTAAAATTAAATATTGATAAACAAAGTTGATAAACACTTCATGAATGACTCTTGGGTGTAATTGATGATGCTGTTGTAATTTTTCATGAAGTACAGTACTCGTAGATGATAAAAGGTATATCAACCATAATATAATGCAACAATTATTTTTAAGACTATGCACTCATATCCTTAAAAGCTAAAGCACCACCAAAAACACACTGCTTTTATGCATTTCATAACCAGTACACACTTAGATGAGAGTGTAAAAGGAAAAAGTATATATGCATTTATACAAACAAAAAAGCATTTAGATTTCACACACTCCAAATGAGAAGAATTAACAAAATAAATACCTAAGCACTGAAAAGTATTTAACGAGACTGAGTGACGCCACTTGTCCTTGTCTCAAACAACGAAGACAAAAGACTTATATAATGGTAAAAGTCGAGGGACACGAGAGGCGACGATGTTCCTTCTCTCCTGTAAGTAACTCGGGCTGGCCTCCACGGAGCGAGTCATTTGCATGTCGCGACAAACAAGGGGTTCCTCGTGAATTCTCATTAAGGAATTTTACTGAGGGAGGCGCCTTCTTCTTCACCCCTGACTGAACTCTCTTCCACTCACTTAACGGCCTCTGGATACTTATAAAGTCCTGCCCGCGGGAGGGCTTAAGTGTGATGTAGCGGGCGCGTCTTGGGGGAATGTGTGTGTGTGTGTGTGTGTGTGTGTGTGTGTGTGTGTGTGTGTGTGTGTGTGTGTGTGTGTGTGTGTGTGTGTGTGTGTGTGTGTTGCCAGTATACTCTCGTCTGGGTTACGGAGGGTTGTAAGTTTGGTGTTGTGTTATTTTATATTGTATAACTCTTGGAGGGTTGTGGTATAAGTGTGGCTCACAAATGATTATAACAATAGTGCGTTTCGTGGCATTTTGTAAGTATGGTGTAGTACATTTTGTAAGTGTGGTGTAGTACGTTTCGTAAGTGTGGTTTACTGAAGGTTCATGGCCACTCCTCAATCTCTGTAAGTGGTGCAGTGTGGTGGAGGCGAGCGTCAGGGTGCAGGAAATATCTAAACAGCTCTAATGTGACCCGATGTTAAACTGTCGTCAGGTGAGTCAATGAAGTTTTGTTGATGATAATTATTTACGTCATATAATTTTGTGTATGTCTGTTATATAATTTACTTATTGATGGATTTATAAGTTTTGTTTAGATTATAGACCTTATAGTATAATTCCTTTGAGCCAATGCTAAGTAATAATACAAACACTTATAAAAGGGGAGTGTCGGGCCCAAGAAAACCTCGTAACCTCCTGTGTAAAGTCTTGATCTCTTCATGAATATTAAAGACACATTTCCATCTCTTAAGAGCTATGCAAACCTTTCTCAGCCTTGACAAAAAATCTAATTAAAAGGTTATTTATATTAGCAAATGAGAGAAGCTGTGGGCGAGAGAAAAGAAGACAGGGGGGAAGACACAAGTGATGATGGAGTTAGCAAAAAAATACTACTAAATGGGAGGATGGTGATGACAATTGGACACAAAATACAAATGGGCATAAAAGAGACAGTATGATTTGACTATATATTGTGGGAGAGAACGATAGTCACCTAACCTGCCATCTCTATAATGCACCAGCTTGTCCACTCACCTAGCGCGAAGCCGTCCTTTGTCCACTGAGCCTTCCCCTGCTGGTGGTCGACGGCACAGCTCAGGAACACCTCTTCGCCCTCCTTCACCTCCACACTCTCCGGCGTCACACGGAACTTCTGGTACTCCATCGCTGTACCTGAAGAAGAAAGAAAGGAACAGACGTCACTCAGGAACTCTATTTAAGCCTCTGCAAAGTGGGACAGTCAGATTGGGGTATTACGTGAAAATTTTTGAGACTACAGTTAAGGAACGTGAAGAAAAATGAGTCACTTTGTATTGGGAACTTCAACTCTAAGCCTTTGAGAGTTGAGACGTGAAGTGACCCATTTGATGGTTTTCTGGTGCACGTCATCATAGTATATGAATATGGAAACGTAACTCATTTATCACCGGGAAGCTTCAACCAACTAAAGGACACACACACACACACACACACACACACACACACACACACACACACACACAGTAAGCTCATTTCAACTTAATATTTATCATCAAAAGTAAAATGCGATATATTTTACACGACTTATGAACTAAATAGTAATTCTGAAAGTGTTTATTTCCAGTTCGTATCTAAATCACAAAAATACCTCCTCCCTCAGATGAAGGTTATCATTAAGGTAAATTGTTTCACGTGGTTGCATACACATGAACGACAGATATGCATCAATGCAACGCTGGAAAAATAATGTGAGGGCTTACGGTTTAGTTATTTTACAATCAGTATAAATTATAATTAAGATAAAGCTCTCTTTTAAATAAGCTGTTAGCGTATAGTCATTTTTTATGCTAAGTACATAAACTCATTATTCATATATGTAGTGGGATGATAAATTATGTGTGTCAGCCAATGTGAGACAGCTTGTTACCCTCTATTATGGAAATATTTCGTGAACTATACTCCCTCTTGTGGGAATTATTACATATCAAACATTATCTTACTTATAATTCACTTTCTTGGGAATCTTTCTAATGTTCATAAGTCCAAAATAAGTTTTAGGTTTAACAAGGTTTAATCTAACCAGCCACTCGGAAGCAGCGGTCGAGGGTTTATATACTTGTCTAAGTGTGTGTGTGACAACAAAGGAATCAGTTTAATGTAAAAGTTCTCTCTGTCGACATCAGTGTTTCATCATCCCGGGTCTTGCGGTATAATACACACTACACCTATTGTTCTCTAAGAGGTCACAGGTGAGGGGTCAACACCACAGCACAACACTCCTTTTACACACAATTGTATTATATCCAATAGTTCATGACTCAGGAACAACACTCACAACATTTACCTAATACTACTTGTTAACATCTAACTAATATTTTTCTTAATTTGTTAATAATTAGTGTATGCATTAACCTAGGCTACACGGTAAGGACCTTAGTTTTAAAAGCACAGTAACACATTATAACATCAACGTAGCTACTTACTCTTTGGCATAAAGCTTTGTTACTTGGTGTTTACTCTTGTTTTTTTATGAGTGCCGATTTCACTGCCAGAAGACACTGAATTAGCGTGTTGGCAGTGTAATGGACGAGCTGAAACACCATCTCTCCACTTTATCAATTACCAACTCGAGTATTTATTGGAATTAAATAGTTTAAATACGCCAGAAAATTCCATGAACAAGTGACTGATCCACCGAGATCATTTTTCTCTCCCTCGCACCTCTGGCCCTCTCTGTACACGGGCTTCACCACTGCACCCCCACTCAGCTCTGTCCACCGAATATACTGTGTACCTCTCACACCCTCAGCTTACATAACCAATAATATCCCTGGTCACCCTCGCTTTCTTTTATACTGTTTATTACATTCCCAAATTTGTCTGCTAGTGTAGTGATAGATAATTCACTGGTCTTTCATGCCTGAGGGGAGATTGAGGGGAGAGAATAAACTCCCCTCTCTGATACTTACTCTTAATACATAATTTTCCCCCTCACGTTCACTGTTTAAACCACCGCCTGGCTGAGGGTGTCACGATGATTGTACTATGACGCATGACAGTATATTCAGGAACAAAAGTTGTATTATTATCATGGTGGAGGGGACTGCTGTGTGGAGGCTGTTCTCTCCGTCTGTCGTATCGTGCTCGCTGTTATCACCAGACCCCAGAGAAACAATTATAATGACGATGACTTGTATTTACCACACGAGTATCCTACCATATACCCGTAGGAGGTGAGTGATATGGGCAAACGAACTTAAACAAACTTGTCATCTTTATCTCAAGATTACAGTAAGACTTGCCTGATTTTTAAGTCTCCTTTAAAATGCCAACGTAATGCAGTTCCCCCTTCCCTCACCGCCGCAGTACAGACCGTTATTTGATTATCTTTAAATATGTTACATTATAATCTATTATTGACATGAGAAAACTTAATATTTTCCATGAATATAAATCACAAATTTAACATACTAAGGAATGTACTCACGGCACCAGAGGGCAAAGAAAAATATGAGGTAGTCTCTGGCAAGTGTACGAGGTGTGTCGTTATGGTTAGTGCTGGGAGGTGTAGTATACCAGGCTGATCTGGGAACACTGGACTGTTTTTATGGAAAGGCAGAGACGTGCTGCACTTAGGGGAGGGGGGCACGGGCTCCTTACTACCCCAGCCACGCCCAAGTGTTGCCGATATTAGATACCTTAAGGTGGGAGGGTGGGGGGGTGGGGAGGCAGGAGGGTGGGAGGGCAGGAGCGAACATAATCATCTACCTACACTCATTTGTTTACTCACATAACATAAACACACAACGGGATGGACTAATCAGGGTAAAATGTGGCTTAATTACAATAAAAATCCTTAGGGTGAAGTAAAAAAAATATATATAGCAAAATAATCCTGGTTAATTAAATGTCAATAGTAAACTAAACAGCGGCTCCTAGTTATAATTTTCTGTTCCTCGTGTAAAAGGAAACGACAAGAGAAGCCCTAAGCTATTTTATACCCCCTGTATATTGCCAATGCAAGTAATCTATCAATCAAACGAGTAATCCTCTATGTATAAGCAATTCAGATAAAGCGCTTTGGTAAAATGAATATAAACACAGTATATTTTACACTTTCATCCACTCAACTGTACAGTATGTCTCTTCTTAGAGCTGTAAAAAATATTGGTATGTCGGTTGTTGCTCTCACGTCCTGATCATGAAATGCCATATTGTGAAATGTGTGTGCGTGTGTGTGTGTGTGTGTGTGTGTGTGTGCGTGTGTGTGTGTGTGTGTGTGTGTGTGTGTGTGTGTGTGTGTGTGTGTGTGTGTGTGTTCAATATATCAGGCAGTTAACCTTAAAGTCAGTTTTTAAGAACACCAACAACAAAATATCATTACCTGTAAGCTTTATTCTTTTTTTTTCCAGAGAAACATTACATCAAGAGGAGCGACTGTAACTTACTGTACATGTTGGCTTTGTGTGGCGTAGGAGGAGTTAAAACAAGAGAGGGAGGCGTGGGCAGGTCATGAACTGTGAGTTGCATGATGAGTAAAACTAATGATATTGAATGTCATGTGTCAACCTCTTTCTTGCGTCACAGCTGAATACATTATTACACACACACACACACACACACACACACACACACACACACACACACACACACACACACACACAATCGTCCTCGTTATTTAGAAGAAAAAAAATACACAAAGATAAAATAAAAGGAGAAATTGCCAAACTTCGTTGATAAAGAGTGGGTAAAGATGAGAGGGAGTGGGCGGAGAGGAGGAAGGAGGTCCAGGAGGGATGAGAGGGGAGGGAGCCGAGAGGAGAAGGAGGAGCAGAGATGAGAGGAGAGGGAGGAGAGACGAGAAGGGAGTGAGGTGAAGTTAAGAGGGGAATGGGTGAAGTTGAGAAGGGAAGGGAAGGATATAACAGGGAAGGGAAGACGATAGAGAGGGGAAGACAATAGAGGGGAGGATGAGGAGATGAAAGGCGGTGGCGGGGATGAGAGTAAGTAGAGATGAGAGAGGGAGGGGAGGAGATTCAGACACTAAATGTGAAACCAAGAATTTAGGAGAGAGAGAGAGAGAGAGAGAGAGAGAGAGAGAGAGAGAGAGAGAGAGAGAGAGAGAAGGGATGACGAAAAGGACATAGAAGAAGTACCGTTAAGGAGTGAATAAATAAATAAAATGTGTGTGTGTGTGTGTGTGTGTGTGTGTGTGTGTGTGTGTGTGTGTGTGTGTGTGTGTGTGTGTGTGTGTGTGTGTGCAAGGGACAAATATGTCAATACAGAGATATTTGCTGTGTCGGTCACCTACAGATCATAAAACAAGGTTGTATTATTCACTACCAACTCGAATGCACAGAATAGTTCAATATATAATTTTTTCCTTGAATTTGCTTGTATACTTGAAAAAAATTATATATTCCTTTGGTTTTTTTTTATTAGTTTCAAGAAATCAAATGTATCACTTTCGAAAAATATCATTTCGTGGGGAATATATTTCAGGAAAGAATAATATTGCGGTAGAGTATTATCAACTAGTTATACAGTAGATGGTAATGTTAATATATCGGAATATTAACAACCTGGAGGATAGTTAACCTAACCTAACTTAACCTAACCTAACTTAACCTAACCTAACCTGGAGTATACTTAACCTAACCTAACCTGGAAGATGCTTCACCTAACCTAACAAACTTAACCTAATCTAACCTAACCCAACCCAACTAGCCTATTTAAACCTAACCTAATCCAACCTAAACTGACCTAAACATTTCAGTATTCCTACACCCAAATGTTTATGTCTGTTTTATATACAATTTTCTGTTTATAAATACATTCTAATTTTATCTACTATCCTTCTTATTATTAACATTAACACTATTATATCATGGCATTAAAGTTTTTTACCTGTGTTATTTTTACCTGTTAATTATTTTACCTGTCTGTAATTTTAACCTGCATGTTATTCCTTGCTTGGTTTAATGTGTATATATAACCAGTGGTAAAATACTCATACAAATTTTATGTTTATATATATATTTTTTTTTTGGCTCTCATTTATATTTTTCACTGTCTCTAATTAGGCCTGAGTGAGCATGAATGTTACTGGTTCATGGCAATTACTCTTTTACAATGTATAAATGCAGTCATGTAGAGTTATACACCATGTAACTCTCAGTGACTCATTAACTCAAGAGATCAGCC